TTCGGGGTTTCGGGTTTTAGGGTTTAGATGAGGGTCAGGGTTACTATACCGGTTCTATGCTTTCGGGTTTAGGGGTTTAGGGGTTCAGGGCTTGGTTTAGGGTTTATGGGTTCAGGGTTCCGGGTTCCGGGAGGGTTAAGGATGTAATTGCGGCTTAGGTGTTGAGGTTTGGGGTTGGGGCCTGGCCGGTGGGCATGTGAGCGATGTCAATGAGCCAGACGTGGCCTGCCTGGCAGGGCTTAAGGCGTAGAGGTTTGGGATTTAGAATTTAGGAATTCGAGTTTTTGGGTTGTGGACTTAAGGTTTATGATTTCAGCTTCGGGTTTGGAGGTTGAGGGGCCTGGTAGACAGATCGAGATTGGAGTCTGATACTCTTGGCCGGCGCGTTCTGACCCACGATGCTCTTCAGGTACACAACACCATCTTTCACGGAATACAAGCCCAAGTCGATGGCGGCACTTTCAGCCACGTAAATGACATCGCCGTGGGTCGGGTCTGGTGCTGTGAAGAACGTCCAGCATTCGATGAATCCGTCTCCTGAGCAATCCTCGGAAGACGTCAGGTCGTGAGGGTTAGTAGTCAGGCTTGGGAAGTCTTAAATCTCCGTGAGGCAGCCACCGCACACGCACGCTTGAACAAACAAACCGAAAATCGCTCAACTGGCAGCCCGGATTATGCTGTGCTAGAGTATCGAAGAAAATGCTATACTTCAGTAAGATATACTCTACCATATTCTCTTGCCCAACTGTGCTGCTGTCCTACCCTAAACCCTAAACCCCAAACCCCTAAATCGCTAAACTCCTATACCCCTAAACCCTAAACCCTAAAACCCCAAACCCTAAACCAAGTATTCCGAGACTCAAGGGTGACAGCCGAATTGCTGGGCGGTGCTGGGGCGGGCGTGGGTGCAGGCGTCACGTCGCCACCGCCTGACCGAGCAGAGGGACCTGCCTGCCCATAAAGGACATATGTATATGTGTGTATATGTACATAAATATATGTATGTATGTATATATATATATATATGTATATATGTATGTATGTATGTATGTATGTACGTACGTACATACGTAGGTAGGTAGGTAGGTAGGTAGGTAGGTAGGTAGGTAGGTAGGTAGGATGTATGTATGTATGTATGTACTATATACACAAACATATGTGTGCATTATGCATGTACACACACACACATCTTCACACACCCACATGTACATATCATTGGTATATATATACACATGCTTTTCTATTTGTATCTATCTATATACACATATATAAATATAACTTATATAAAGTCATAGTAAGGAGCCCCAAAACATGTGCTTTGGTGGGTCCTGCGTGTCATCTGCGGTTGCCTTTGAATGTGGCGTGCGCAGCCTTTCGCCATTCTACTTGAAGGACGGCAGGTCCCCTAAGAGCCCTAAGAGCCCTAAGAGCGCTAGGAGCCCTGAACTGCGGTGGCTCCACGAGAAACTTGCGGATCTGCTGAGGCTTTAGGGCTGAGGCCCTCAACTTTAGGAATTAGGGCAAGCCCCATGATCCGAGAAGCCAAGCTGGCAAAATGAGGGTTAAAAGGGGGTTTAGGGTTTAGGGTTACCCTGAAACCCTAAACCCTCTAAGCCCCTAAAAAGGGTTCGAGACCCTCGTCTCCACCAAACTTCTCTCACATCCGAGCTGCCGGGTTTAGTACAGTCTTGCGACTTCTTGGGGATGGGGCATCCGGTGAAGCTGTCGTTTGCGGAAGGGCAGATGGTACCTTTGCATCGCGTGCCCGTGGACAAAAAGCACATCGAAAGACAGTAGGATTGAACATCCAAAATTTCGATTCCCAAACAAACACAAATCTTCAGAAGATCTTTCGAATGGATGCCAGGTACCATCAGGGCAGCATTGGTTACCTGCACACAAAGTACCACCGGCTGGGCAGGACACCGAAGCACCGACTTTGCACTGACCTCCGGAACGCCTACGACTTCCGGAAAGAAGTTGCCTCCGATGCGCGTCGTGCGTCCGAGCCTGGTTCAAGAGGCTTTTGGGCATTTCTACCCAAAGGGTGGAAGGACTACCATCGTACATATATTGGATACCTAGGCCCTTTTTTGGTTAGTCTTGGCGAATGTTTTTTTCGACGGAGCCTGCAGAAGAGATTGGGGCTCACATTCCCCTTCTGATCCTGCGGATTCTGTCTGAGCCCTCAGGCAGCTGGAATTGTCGGAAGCGCCAAAAGCTGCGATGCATCCGCAGAGCGCCAATGACAACCAGCGAAGAGGAGCCATGTGCCCGCAAAGGTTGGACAGGGACGACCGCGAGGCTCGTGACAAATGGCTGCGGAGCTGAAAAGATGCTTGGCAAGCGCTGCAATGAGCCTACCGTAGGCCCCTAAGCAGTTCCTTTTTGTGGCCTATATTCAGAATCCTATAAGGTAACCCCAAAAAGGAACTACTTAGGGGCCTATGGGGAGCTGCCAGCGTTGAACTGCTGCAGTCATTTGCAGTACGTGATACCATCAACACTACTGCTTTGTCCATTTTATGACGCTGACACGCTGTTAGTATGCCCCCAGGTGTCAAACAGGATGCTTTGACTGCTTGCTGCTGCTGGAAAACCAGAATAGAACATGCCGAAAGATTTTCCGAACGGTGCTGCGAATTCAGGGTTTAGGAGTTAAGGGTACAGCGATTCTAGCTCATGATTCTTTTCCACTGAAGCAGAAGGACTTCCGTGAGGTGACTCAGGACAACATTAGGATGGCCATGGTACATGCCGTCTTGATCAACCCGGTTTGCGTCCACGCGGATCAGCAGCATGCCGTCGCGGCCTTGGCGCAGCACCTTTTTCAAGCAGAGTCACCTCGGTCTTCCTTTCCTCGCACGCAGACACCAGAGTATAAAAGGAAGAAAAAAAGTGCGGATGCACAGATGCACAAAACTGATACCGAGTGACGATGTCGCTGAAGTTTGCATCGGCCGCCAACAGCGCCGCAGTCTTGCCCCTCATGTCGACCAGGCTCACATCAGCTGCGACGCCCAACAGCAACTGCACAAGGTCCTGGTGACCCTTCATGCTCGCCAGGTGGAGGGGGGTTTGCCCGCCACTGTTCGCCAGATTCACTTCAGCACGTGCCTCCAGCAGCAAGCGCAGCACAGCAGCCTGACCTGCCCAGCAAGCCTCATGGATGGCCACATTCGGGTCAAGTGGGCATTGCAGCATCTTCTCCACCTCAACCACATTGCCTGGGTTCCCCAGTAGCCCCTGAATAATAAGGGCACCTCCTTTTTCCTACAATTTGGTTTTCAATACAGGAACCCCCCAAAAAGATAAACGGGCAAAAAGGGCACCATCTCTCAAACCTCTAAACCCTAAAACAAGTTGCCATTCCGTGTGGCGATCTTCAAGTCGAGCAGTTGCGGTGACGGCACGTCGCAGAAGGGGAGCAACACAAGTTGAATGTCCATGGCAGCATCCAGCCTTGCCTTAATTGCACAATGATCTGCTAAAAACCATAGGCGTTCCTCCACATTACCCCACTCGTTACCGACAAAGCCCTATGCCTCAACCCTCAAACCCCCAAGCTGCGAGCCTCTGGAATAGAAACGTAGTCTGCCTCGCTTCAGAGTTGCGTTGTCCTCAAGCGGCGCATCACCGCAAAAAAGCCGCTGCCTGAAACCCCTAACGGTTTAACTGTTTAGGCTTAAGGGCTTTAAGGGCTTCGGGGTGTAAGGCTTCGGGGGTAAAGGTTTATAGGCTTTACAGATACTTCCCAGAGACTCCAATATTCCTTAACTGAGGAATAGACCTTAATTTTTTTTAAATAGGAGCCTTATTCAGATTTGAGGTATCTTCCTTGTCTTTTCCGGCATATTGGAGTCTCTGGGTTTATAAGGGTTCTGTCTGCCTGAAGCGGGGCACGCCGCAGACTTCGCACAAGCGCTCCTTCAGTGCTCCGACCTGAGATCTCTGGAGAGACGAACTTTTTGCGGTTTAGGGCTTATAGGGTTTAGGGTTTTGCGGGTTTAGGGCTTATTATAGGGCTTAGGGTTTAGGGTTTTGAGGGTTTAGGGCTTAGGGTTTTGAGGGTTTAGGGCTTATAGGGTTTAGGGTTTAAGGGTTATGGGTCTAGGGCTTGGGGTTTAGGGCCTTCGGGTTTAGAGGACGATGGTTTCTTAAGCAGGTTCTAATTTTAGGGCTCGAGGGGCCGTCTTCAATTCCTTCACAGGGATGACAGCGACCCCATCACCAGAAGTTCCGCTGCGAACGCGAAGCATCAGGGATCAGGGTCTCAGAGAGTTTAGGGTTTAGGGTCAAACCCGTTGAACAACGACCTTCGCAGTTAGAATGAGTTCCTTTACACTTCCTGTAATGGGTTCTACCAGGGGTTACTACAAGGGCAATCATGAGGGTGCAGTTGTTTAACTATAAGGCTTGAATACCGTGGGCTTAAAAATGAGATTAGGGTTGGGGGTATATTATGGTATACTTACAACAAGGAACCCTAAGAAATAATTTTACCATTTACGGATGAAGGTTCGGTGTCTGGCCTCGAGAGGCTACTTTTCTGAGGCATTGCATGATGGAGCAGTACACTACTATCTATCTACCTATCTATCTACCTACCTATCTATCTATCTCTACCTGTCTCTTCTTCAAGGTAACATGTTTAGGGACTGAGCCAAAATTGGTGCAATGCGAATTTTGGTCTTCCAACGTGCCATCAGAAAGCTGGGAAAAACAAGGCTGAGTGCAGCCGTTCATCAAGACACCTCCTGTCAGCCCTAAACCCTAAACCCTGTCGCAGGCCCTGTACCCGAAAACCTGGGCCGTTCAGGATTGGCTCCCCTTAGCGCTGAGTTTTTGGGCCAAGGTTGCATTTCAGGACATAGCTTCATGGCACCGGAATGAAAGGAACAGCAGATCTTACTCAGTGCTTTTTGCAAGGCTCTTCGGTTCGGGGGGCGGCTTGTATGAGTCGACAAAACCGTGGCAAGAAGAGGCTCCATCACAACCTACTCGACTTCTGAGGGGAGTACGAGAAGGCCCGGGGGTGATGCGAGCTGTCTTCCATGCATGGGGCAGTGATGACAGTGATGCAATGGCCTTGATAGCTCGTTAGCATAGGGCTGCTTCGTATACGGGCTCCACAACCTCCAACCGTAAAACCTTAGGCGTGATCATGTCTGGTCCTCGCCAGATCTGGGAAGTACGCTGCCACTGCAGGCCTAAGAACTTGCTTGAAGAATCAAAACTCAAAAGGGTTCCGGGTTTCAGAAGCCTTAACCCTAAACCCTAAACCCGCCTTGCCTTAAAAAATCTGCATACCCTCAGAGTCGGGTTAGGGGCAGGATTAGTAAAAGTAGAGCACATGCTCCCCCAGAAAATGTCAACCTCAGAGCTTCAAATAACCCCTTTTTTGCCTCTAAACCCTGAGCCCCCAAGCACATATCGAACAGGGCTTCATATCAGGATTCGAGTTTAATGATAGGATTTGGGGTATGAAGTAGTATCGAGTTGGGGCCGGGCTGTAGCCAACGTATGCAGAAGCTTCTAAAAATCCTTAATCCTACCCAATGTTATTCAAAGGTACAAACCCCAAGGGTCCATGTAGCCAAATAGTACATACTTTGGCCCCAAAGTACCTATATGGGGACTACTTCAAGGGCATATACTATTTGGGTACATGGACCCTTAGGGAAAGTCTAGGCACTTTTCCGCAAATGAGCGAGGCTCGGGCTGTCTGTGAATCTGTACACAACTTTGGCGCTTTGGGCGGCACTTGCGTGTGTTTCGGCGCTCTGTATGAGTTCACACGCGTGTTCGATTGCTTGCTAGATGTATGTACAATGAGGTCTCCAGCTGTATGAGTTTAGGCTTCAGCGTTCTGGGCTCATGGATCAGGTCGAAGTCTGGACAACTTTTCGTCATCCTCACCAACCAGCATTCCTCCCGGTAGAACGTACTTGGCGTCCCGATACCTCTCGTTTTTGCTGCCCACTACTGCCCGCAAATCACGAACGGTGGAGGCAGGCTCCAGGACAAACTTGCACAAGCAATCGCCGGACAGAGAGAAGATCTCCACATCCACCGCCTGCACTTGCTGGGCTTAGGGTTGAGGTATAGGCTTATGCTTCACATGCCGGTCACCGGGGCTTTGTCATGCTTGGGTCGTCTTCGTACGCAAACCCGTAAGTTCGGGGCTGGTATGGCGTGCCACCACAGCCGTAATGCAAAACGTGTTGAATTGTTGAGACTTTAGACAGGGTTTGGGCTAATATGACTGTTGCATATATAGATACATACGAAAGATAATTCTATACTATGACAGTGTTAGAACAAAAGATACATAAATGAGCAAATGTACAAATAGGTATAGATATAAAGCAGGTAAATAAACCAACAGTTACACACACACATATATCTATGTACGGGTATATTTTTTCATATATTTTTATTTATTTATATTTATACAATACACATATACATGGACCACGATGCGATGATACCAACTACCATTTTCGCCATACGCCTGTATTAATTTGGTTGCGGCCTACTGTCTCCTGCTATCCCCTACTCATTCTCTGCCTACGAGGCTTGGGAAGCCTCCTCTCGAGGCGCCGGTTCAACATCCTGGAAACCGTACCTAAACCCTAAACCCTGAACCGTAAACCCTACTGTAAACCCTAAGCCCCAAACCCTAAACCCTAAACCCTACTCTGCAGTAGGCGTTACGGCAGGTGACAGAAGAGACATGGTTCCATATATTGCCAAACCGAAACCTGAAACCCGACCACGAACCCTAGTTACGGTTTAAGGTTGCGGCTTGGGGTGCCACGGTAAGCCCTTGAATCCCGAATCTTTCTTGACATTAGGCCCAGGTTGGACCTTTAAAGCTTATGAACAATCTTTAGCACCGTATGATCATCTGGAGGTAACGTATAAAATGCCAAAGGTCTACTTATGAAACATGAAACAAGTGACTATCAACTCGGTCCTAACCCTAAACCCTACCCAGACCCTTACATGCAGCACCTGTTCTTGGTTGCCTGAGTTTCATATTATAGGAATTTCACCATAACATAAGTTATCCCAAAAAAAGGTACTACATTTAAGGGTCTAGGTACCCTAAATGCCCCAAACCCTAAAGCCCAAACCCCAAGCCCAAGGAAATCCGGGCCGGGTCGCAGTGTCTGAGCATCTGATTTCCAGCTGAAGAACCAGGCTAGGTCGTTGTAGCAGGATACGAGTCCAAAGACCCTGTAGCCTGGCTACCATCTCGGGTCGTTTAGGGTTTAGGCTTTGGCTCCAAATTTGAGGGTATAGGGTTTACGTTTAGAAAACTTTTAAGGGGCCTCTTAGAAACTGTAGGGTGCAAAAGACAATGTTGAGGGGCCTTGACAGTTGGAATAGAGGTTTTTGGGCAGAAAATGTCTAGTAGTTTTTTGTAACAAGGAACTACGGTTGATGACATACATCCTGCATCACCTTAAAGGCCATAAACTATGGGAATTATGAGCATGCTAGGGATGTTCCGCATGGACTCCCTGAAAGCCTCCCACGGCTGGGAGGTTCTGATCTAACTAGGACAAGTTTCAGCAGAGCCCTTCATCCTGAATCCGAAACCCCCAACACCCTGTTCAAAGTTTTCTCGCGCGAAAAGCATCTTGAAGCGGTAAAGTTGGAAGCCTTGCCACCTTGTCCTTGCTTTGCACAGCTGGACCCATGAAGGACCAGAAAGCAGACACCAGAAGCGTTAGGCACTTTCGGCTAGAAACCCCAATCCCTAGGTCAAGTGTGTCCTTTGATACTCGCAACATGCTTCTACAAGATCTGCTTCGATCCAAAGTACGCACCATGCAAAAACCGCGAAAATTTACCTTGCCCCGGTCCTCGCGTGGTCTGGGATCACGGACTCCGCGTGCCGCCCGTGCCAAACCAAGAAGTCACCGTCCGCGAACCTCGATTTTAGATGCAATTGCGGAGCCACACCCGAACAGCTCTAGACGATGACTGCAGCAAGCGCGAGGAATAATGGGGCTCTGATAGCTACAATTACGGGTGCCGGAGGTGTTCTGTAGCAGTATTATCGGAGGATAATACTGGTATTCTTTCAGCCTGCACCATATAATGATTAGGATGCTGGTGCCATTGCTGTCATAGCATCTTCGGGCTCTTCGAATAAATGTAGTGATGGACATTGTCGTTGTTATGATATTTTCACCTCCAAATGGCTTCCTCGCACATATACTCTCCACTCTAGAGTCTAGAGCTCCTCCATCATCGAGACCGAGGCCTTAAGCCCAAAACCCTAGACCCAGTAAACCCTCTAAGCCCTAGAAACTCTAAACATCGGGACTTGAGGGCCTTGTCGGGCTGTGGATGAGACCTGACTGCGATTTTGGCATGATGCTGACGTAAAGGTTTCAGTTCAGCTCCTTGAAGCGAACTTAATTAGGGGACTATGACCCGGATATCTATATTGCCACCGAAAGAACTGGAGGCTATTAACCATGTCGAGTTGAAATGCCACTTACAAACCCAAGTCCCGACCACTAGGACACAAACCCCCGATTCTTCACAGGATGGGGCAGAGTGCCAATTCATGGCGAATCTTCGGTGGAGCATCCCAATTGGGAACATTCTGCTCTTCAATTTCTCGATGTTCTGAAGCTTGAAAACTATGGTAGCTGCATGCTGCTGTCGTGCCCTTGGGGCTTAGGGTTAGCTGCAGGATACAGGCTGCTTTCGCCGGCAAGCTTGCTACTCCCAAAACCCAAAACCCTATACCCTAAACCCCTAAACCCTAAACCCCTGAACCCTAAACCCCTGAACCCTAAACCCCCTAACCCCAAAACCCAAAACCCGCCATCTCCCGAGTTGACCCTTCCAAGTTCAGGTCCTCTGCCACCGCTTCAGCGACTCCGACTTGGGTTTAGGGTTTAGGGTTTTAGGGTTTG